GGCCAATATTTAATTGAATAAAGTTATATTTTTAAACAAAAATTCCAAATTTGCCTTCTTATTTGAAATCGGCAATGACTTAGTTGCCAACTTAATAGTTTGGTCCTTCAAATTGACTCTAAGTTTACCGATGGACTAATGTAACACCCCATATTCTAGACATTTTATTGGCCAATTTTATTGAATCATTCGTGGATTCCAGCTTTGATCATCCCTGACAAACAAACTCTCAAAATAATGTCAAATATTTTCTCATACTTCTCCACAAGTTTGTTACTGACATTTGTTCGGTTTTGAGGAGAGTCAAACAATTCTCTTCTTAATTTCTATCTCTTATATGCATCCTTTGTGTTTAGAATTCACAATAAGAGAAAGCACTTGTCAATTCTTCTTCAAATTGATCAAAATTGCCTTATGGGGTTGTAGGTGTGGGCTAATGAGCTCCCATAACTCTAACAACTACGTCAAAAGTGCTGAACATCTGGAGTTCTCACATTCGGGTGTGTCAGAAGCAACTGCCAAATAAGGACCATTGGATGAGGTGAATACTTGCTAAACGCAACATTTTAGACGAAAAATTGTTCGTCTGACATGAGGACAGATAGTTGGAACTATGCTCTCGATTCAGTGAATGATTTGACCGATAAATATGAACTGGTGGTTGCGCAATGGAAGGACGTAAATGAATTGAGTCAAGTGCTTAACTCTCCTGTCAATATTCTTCTCCTCGCCTCCTCATATGCTCTTTCTGGCTTCTCTCAAGTCCTAAGATGCCCTATTGAAACCTATTGACCACGGCAAACATCATTTCTAATTAATTAAAAGCAGGTTGAATTATTGACCACGGCAGCATACCGATGTGTGGTTGTCGGCACTAGAATGACTATGTGGCTCTACGGACCAATGAGAAGTTAGAATACATGTATATATTTGTTTTTCAATATAACACACTGCAGTTGGAAATAGTGGTGGCCGATTCCAACGGAGCTTCCACTTTCTTCTCCCTTCCAACTCGTAATAATTACCCCCGTCATTCTTCTATTTGTTTAAATCAATCATAAAAACTTTGATAATATTAGCAATTTCAACAGAATTAGAATGTGATCTCTACAGAACTATGTGATTGAACTGGACACTATAGTGAAGTCATAAATGCTAGACAAGGTAGAAAACAAATTCAATCACCCGATATTCAAATGTCCCCTTGAAGGCATCGTCTCAATGCAGAGTTCGTGGACGGAAAGATGGCGAATTTGGAAATTCTACTTCAAAATATCACGTGAAAAACATTTAAAAATTATAAAAGATGGTAAATTACAATTTTTAGGGTTGATCTAATATGTTATTTGAGGAGTTGAATAAGATAGGACTTGGTGCGTCATCCTGGATTTGAAGAATCGAACTGGATTTTCTTGTCCCACGTTTCTGGGGTGGTAAGAGCGGATACAGCAACATCATAGCGAATACTCGTTGATGTAATCTCTTCTGACTTTCTCCACCTGTCTGTGGTATCTTCATCTCCTGATACACTGCTGACAGATGAGGAAAGTGGTCGCCAACTTGATTCAGTTCCTTCATGTCTTTGGAGAATGGAAGTAACCCCCCCCCCCTCTCCACTTGGTCTGAAGTGCAAAATTTTTCAAACTGCATTTTGGCTAATTGTCCATAGACGCTGAGAATTCCAACCTTTGAGTCCCTCGAGGAGACAACATTCGCCAAACGTGATGAGGCGGATGGTCTACGAATTGCTTTATGGGCAAGTCTGCTCATTTCGTATTCCTTTATCACCCTCTGTATTATTGCATTTCCTTTTAGCTCTGCATAGATGTTTTTCTCGTACTTGTCCTTCTGCATCTTTA